GAGGGAGAAGCAGGCTCCCCGCTGAGCAGGGAGCCCGATGTGGGACTCCATCCCAGGACTCTGGGATCATGACCTGAGCCGAAGGCAGTCGCTTAACCAGCTGAGCCACCCAGGCGTGGGGCCTAGGATTTTGAGGGCTCAGTCTTTATCCGGTGAATTTAAAACTTAAGAGTAAGAATTTAGGGGCACCTGGGTGGATCAGTTGGTTGAGCAACCGATTCCTTTTTTTTTTTTTTACAGAGAGAGTGAGTACAAGCAGAGGGAGCTGCAGGCGGAGGGAGAAGCAGGCTCCCCTCTGAGCAGGGAGCCCGACAGGGGGCTCCATCCCAGGACCCTGGGATCATGATCCAAGCTGAAGGCAGACGCTTAACCGACTGAGCCACCCAGGTGCCCCGAGTGTTCGACTCTTGATTTCAGCTCTGGTCATGATCTCACAATCCTGAGATGGAGCCCTGTGTCAGGCTCGCACTCGGTGCGGAGTCTCCTTGTCCCTCTCCCTCTGCTCCTTCTCTCTCTCTCACTTTGTCTTAAATTAAATAAATAAATAAATAAATAAATAAATAAATAAATAAATAAAATCTTAAAAAAAAAATAGAGTGAGAATTTAAAGTGAAAGAAGAGGGGCACCTGGGTGGCTTGGTCGGTTAAGTGTCTGCCTTTGGCTCAGGTCATGATCCCAGAGTCCTGCTCAGCGGGGAGTCTGCTTCTCCCTCTCCCTCTGCTCCTCCCCCTGCTTGTGTTCTTGGTCTTGCTCTCTCTCTCAAATAAATAAATAAAATCTTTAAAAAAAAATAAAGTGAGGGAAGAGAACAGACAAGTGGCCCAAATGATCAGTTATCAAAATCAGCCAAGATCCCCAAAATAAAGGAGCCTCAGGGGAGAGGAGGTGGCGTGGCTCTTGGTTTATTAAAGATAGCTATGGATTGGATGCCTCAGTAATCCAAGCTTAAGTCAGGCACTGACTTTACAAAAAAGAAAAGAAACCAACAGTCAGTTTATGTGGCCAGAGGGATGTGTCCCAAGCAGAGGGAACCTTATGCCCGAAGGCTCTGGAGCGGGAATGTACTCAGTGCATTTCAGGAACAAGTAGCAAGGAGGTATTGTATTTGCATCGCTCAGCTCTCGCCCTTCCCAGATCCTGGAGAATTCTCTGCCCAGAGCCACGGATTTCCCTCTCCAGCCTATGGGCTCTGTCTGGACTTATTTCTCACTGTTGAGAAATCATCCTACCTCTTGCTTTCAGCCCAGGGCTGGCTTGTGTAATACACAATGAAAGAGCAAGTAGTATCTCAGGACAGAAGGGCCAGGTCTGAGGAGTATCTTCCAGGAACTCACATTAGAGCTGGAGACATGTTTGGGATATTATGTTAGAGAAAACGGAAGCTGGGAGATGAGTGGAATCTGCCTGGGTCCCAGCAAGTCAGCAGTAGGGCCAAGGTAAGGCCCAGGATGCCTGACTTCCACCCTGTCCACTCCATCTCAGGACCACCAAAGCCCTTCCCATCTGAGTCCCCCTAACTTTCTTTCTCATCTCTCCTTCTCTATCCCCAGATACCTAGTTCTGCCCGAAAGGATTTTCACTATTCTTCAAACACATCATCATCACCTTTCAACTCCATGTCCTTGAAGGTAATAATGCCTTTTGTACAGCACCTTCTCTCACTTGTGTACCAGGTAAACTCCTACTCATCCCTCAAGGCCTCTCAAATGTTTCCTTCCCTGGAACAATAGTCTAAACTCAGTTTCTCCAGAACCCATTCATCTCTCCTTCCTCTGTGCTCTTATAATACTCTCCACATATATTGATTTTAACATTTACTACCCTCTCCTATAATTGTCTATAATTGTTTTAGTCCTCATTGGATATATTTTTCTCTAGGACAGGGATTGTTTCTGCTTCTGTCCCTAGGGCCTAGCATGGTATCTGGCATTTTCTTGGCAATCAATAAATGTTGACCAATAGTGGAACAAATGAAGGAAGATGAAGCAAATTTCTTAACCTCTCAGTCTTAGTTTTATTATCCTTGAAATGAAAGGAAGTTAAACACTAAGCAAGGTTAAATGATGGATAATGAATGTAAAACAAATATCACCATCATTGACTGAGTTGCCCAAGCCAAAAATAGGGAATCACAAAAAATTTCCACTTCTCCCATTCCCTTTTCCCCTCCCCCCAGCTAACCAGTCACCATGGCTTGTTGAACCTGGCTGCAGACCTTGGTAAGAAACTCTAGCTTACAGGGGAATTTCCATTAGGTCAGAAGCATGGGAGGCAAGGGGTGTTGGAGGTAGGAAGTCTATAAGGAAAAGAAGCAGGACAAGAGACTCATGGGTACATGGGCCACAAGAAGAACAGATAAGGGATCCAGGAGAAGCGAGAAATCAGGCTGAGTCCTGGCGACATAGAAACCACTCAAGTCTGTGTGCTCAAGAAATCCTGGTGGACTGGGGAAACAAATAGAAACAATGAAAACAATTTGTACAGAACGATGCTGTAGTAGAGCACTGCCTCCTTCGGGATACCCCTTCTTTACTCTGCTTACAGGATATCACCCAGCTTGCCTGCTTTTCTACTTATATTTTTGGCCTTCCTCAGTCTGGTTTGCTGCTTCTCCTAGTTTCCTTAAATGCTGACTGTTGCAGGAAACTATTTTCCATCTACACTCACTTCTTTGATGACCTCATCTAGTCTCATGGCTTTAAATGCCATCTATGTACTGATAACTCCCAAATTGGTATCTCTAGTCTAGATCTCTCCCCTGACCTCAGACCTCCTGCTCCCCCCTCCTCCTGCCCTCTCACCATCTGTACTCCAATGAGCATTTCAAACTCCATACATCCAAAAATGAGCTCCAGATAGTTCCCCCCACAAAACAACATCTCCCTTGTCTTTCACATCTCAAGAAATAGCAACACTGGTCTTCCAGTTGTTCAGTCTTAAAAATTGGCTCCTTTCTTCCTCTGATACTCCACATCGAATCTGTCAGCATGCTCTCTTGTCCCTACCCTCTAAATATATTCAAAATTCATCCACTTCTCATCCCCCACCTCTGGATTATTGTAATAGGCTCCCAGTTGGTCTCCCTGCTTCTGCCACTCTCCCTCCGGAATCTATTCCTCGTAGAATAGCCAGAGTAACTCTGTTAAAATGTAAATCAGATTGTGTGGATCCTCTGCTCAAAACCCTTCACAGGTTTCTCAACATGGAGTAAAAGCTAAAGTCATTATTGTGACTTGCAAGGTTGTATTGTCTGGCTCCTGCTATCTCTCTGTCCGCCTCTCCTGCTCTCACCATAGTACTCGATGCTCCAGCCATTCTAGACCCTTTGCACTTGCTCCCTCTCTGAAATGCTCTTTCCTAAATATCAGAACAGTGGGCCCCCCCCCCAAATCTTTTTCTTCAGACCTTTACTCAAGTTATCTTCCTAGTAAGGTCTTCCTTGCCCCCCCAAAATAAAACCTCTCCCCTCCCCATTTCTCTGATTTATTTTTTCTCCTAGGTATTTACTGCAGTCTTAAAACTATATATTTTATCTATCTTTTTTTTTAAGATTTTATTTATTTATTTGACAGAGAGAGAGAGAGAGCACAAGTAGGCATAGAGGCAGGCAGAGGGAGAGGGAGAAGCAGGCTCCCCGCTGAGCAGGGAGCCTGACGCAGGGCTCGATCCTGGGAGCCTGTGATCATGACCTGAGCCGAAGGCAGCCACTTAACCAACTGAGCCACCCAGGCGCCCCTTATCTATCTTCTTTGTTGTTTATCTCTCCCATTAGAATGGAAGCTGCATGGAGATTTTTGGGCGGTCTGTTTTATTCACCATTGTATAACCACTACTTAGACTAGTAACAGGCATATAGTAAGGCACTCAGGAGGTATTTGTTGAATGAATGAAAACGGTGGACATTTTCAAGAGCCAAATTTTACTCTTTAATGTAGAAGCAGACGAATTTTCCTGGGACCCGGCAGGACAAGCAGTCCTAATACTAAAGGAGGTTGCTGCCAGCTATTTTTCAGCAGGGGTTGGCAGGCAGATCCTGGCTGGGGACGAAGGGGAGGGGTTAAATGGGCTGTTGGGGAGGGGCCAGGCTGGAGAAGCCGAAGAGCGGAGGCTCAAGGAAGGACCAATAGAGTAGGCAAATTTCCAACCTTAACGATGTGACTAAGGTGTGTAACGTCACATCCGGTGTGGTGGGCGGGAGCGGGAAACAAAAGGAGAGCAAAGGCGCATGCGTTGGTGTTTCTCAGGTTCTGGCGGGCTCTTCCGCTCAGCCCGAGAGAAGTGCTTCCGGGTTGCCGCCGGCTGCCGCCTCCCGGCGCGGTAAGTACAGAAGCCAGGCTGCGGCCGCTCTCTCCCTGCCCCTTCTCTTCTCCCTCCCCCAGAGAAACCCCGTGGCCCTGCCCCGGCTCTTCAGGACCTCCACGTTCAGACGCCTTTTAACGTTAAAGAGCTCCAGCTCATTGGCCGCTTCCTCGAGGCTAAGCCCCACCCCGTCGCCCAAGATCCGTCACTCATTGGTGTTTCTTTCTGTCACCCAGCATTTCTTCCAGTTAATTGGCCCTATTCAGGCCCCGCTCCTTTCGCGATTAGCAACCCTATAAGGGCAAATGCCTATTAGAATCCCGCCCCTGCATTCTTCGTGTTGGTCCAACCCCGCGGGTTGGCAAAGAATGGGCGGTGGCTTTGAGGCGAGGGGTGGGCTTTCGGAACCTCAGTCTCTGGCCTCTCCTACTTAACGGGATTTGAGGATGGGTGCTGGTGTGCTGGTGACATTGGCCGGGAAGCCGAGGTTCACGGAAGGGCAGCGGCTGGCCCAAGATCGGTCACATGAGTTTAGGGCAAAAGCAGAACTAGACGTATGTCCTTTTCTCCTGCTCATCTCCTCCAGTGCCTGGCCTCGACTTCTTCCCGGTGGGAATTCGATGCCCCAACTCACTTGTGATCTAGAGCCAGTCGTTGCCTGTCCCAGGGCCTCAAAATTTTCCTGTGAGGTGAAAGGTTTTAATTCAGATTCTCCGGGACCTTTCTGGTCAGTCCCCTCAGCTGCTTAATCCGTGCCGAATTTACTTACTCTCTCACATGATAGTTCATTCAGCCTTCCATTTACTTACTTATCCATTTAGGCCTTTAGAATGTCTTTCTGAACCATACTGCACGTGGTACCCCACCCCCACCCCAGTCAGCTGTGGTTCATGAGAGAGGTGATGAGTGTCCTAAATTTCTGACACTGGGTAAGTATGGTACGGATCATCGTAGAGGGGCAAAAAGTAGGTCTTACTGTTTGGAGGAGGTAAAGATAGTGTCAGTGGAGCCCTGCTACCTCTAATTTTGTCTAATTTTGTAATGCCAGTCTGCATTCTGGATTCATAACTTTACATTTGGCTTCCATTCTCTTCCCTGCCTTGAACAGTTTAAACCACTTTACTTCTCCATAAAGTAAATTAATTATCAGAATAACTATGAGGGCGTAGTATAATTGTTATTATTCCCCGTTTTACAGATGAGGAAACTGAGGCTCAGAGAGGTTAAGTGACTTGGCCAAGGTCAAACAGCTAGTAAGTGGTGGAGCCAGGACTCAAACCCAGGTCTGTCTGATTCCCACAGAGAAGAGCGATTTCCCTGCTACCTTCTACTCCACCCCATCCCCAAATTAAACTGTAACCAAATAAAACCCCAAACCAAAGACATCTGACAGCTGGATTCACCTGGCCCTTTACCTCAGTCTAGGAGCCATGTCCACTTTGTTTCCCTCACTCTTCCCCCGTGTGACTGAGACACTGTGGTTTAATCTGGATCGACCCTGTGTGGAGGAGACAGAGCTGCAGCAGCAAGAACAACAGCATCAGGCCTGGGTGAGTAAGGACCTGGCATAGTGGTGGAGCCTCAGTCAGGGAGGAGCTTTTTGCCCTGGGTTGGGAACAATCAAGCTGGGAGGCAGGAGGCCTAGGTTCACATCTTTGTATGACCCTGATTTACTGTGGGCCCATGGGACTTCTGGGCCAGACTGGAGCCTAGGCTCTTTTCCCTAAAGCATAGGAAATAGTTTTGACTTTATTGAGGACCTAGTAGATGTGATATCCTAGACTGATAGTCTCTCACTTCACCCTCACAGTAATCTTTTTTTTTTTTTAAGATTTTATTTATTTATTTGAGAGATAGCACGAGAGGGAAGAGGGTCAGAGGGAGAAGCAGACTCCCTGCTGAGCAGGGAGCCCGATGCGGGACTCGATCCCGGGACTCCAGGATCATGACCTGAGCCGAAGGCAGTCGCTTAACCAGCTGAGCCACCCAGGCGCCCCACCCTCATGGTAATCTTATGAGGAAACCATGGCCCAGAGAGTTTATGTAGTTGGATCAAGTTTGTAAGTAAGTGGCAGATGACAAGAGATAAAGGGATTGTCTCTTTCTGGAAACTGGAAGGAAGCTTCTCCACATTTAAGGGGTCATCTTAGGGGCAGAATGGGCCAGTCCCATGTCCCTGACCTGTCCTGCTTGCACCCTGACCATGCTCTCCTCCCACTTTGGCCATAGCTCCAGAGCATCGCAGAGAAAGACAACAACCTGGTACCTATTGGCAAGCCGGCCTCAGAGGTGAGTGGTTCCAGCAGGTAGGGCTTGTGTGGAGCCCAGGTGGACCAAGGCTCTGCTCTACTTCTGAAAGTCCTGCCTCTGGTCCCAGAGCAGTTGTGTTCCTCAGCTCTGGGTGGAGGCTGTAAAGGGGGTGTAGAGTGGGTGGCCATTGGACCCAGCACTAAGGTCCTGCAGAACATGCATCAGCTTCCTAGACTCAAAGGGGCGGGGCAAGGTTGGGGAATGGAGGGTCATTCATTGTTCCCAGAGACTGGCTCCAAGTGGACCAGCCCTTGAACTGGTCCAGGCAGCCCTATAGAGCCTATAGGCTCTCCCCTGCCTCACCAGCACTATGATGATGAGGAAGAGGAGGATGAAGATGATGATGAAGATAGTGAAGAGGACTCAGAGGATGATGAGGACATGCAGGACATGGATGAGATGAATGACTACAATGAGTCACCTGATGACGGAGAGGTCAATGAGGTAGGCAGGGGTGTGGGGGAGGGCCCCTACCCCTGACCCAACTGGTGGCCAAGGGTTACAGAGACTTTGGTTCCAGACGGGCAGGATCTCGGACTGGGGCTGGCTGGGTGGCTGAGGCCCCGTCCCACCCACACCCAGCCTTCTCTCCAGGTGGACATGGAAGGCAACGAACAAGATCAGGACCAGTGGATGATCTAGGTAGACAAGGCAGGGTGGCCTCAGGGAAATTCCAGGCCAGCCGAACTTACCCTGCATCCCCTGCAGAACCAGCTGTTTGCCCCACTGCCTGAAAGCTCACCCTTGGGTATTTCTTCAGCTGCTGCCAGGAACTGGTCTCCTTGGCCCCTCCCAGGCCATCAGTTTGCCCTTGAGTCCCCAGGGCCTGAGCCCAACCCACCTTTCTGCCTAGTACTTCGCCCTTTGGTTGCCAGGTATAGTCTCTTCCTAACTCCCTTTAATAAAGACACAGGACTGATTTTTCCCCCCCGTGTCTATTCCCTATTTGTTGGTGGGGCCCAGAGGAATCCAGCATCTTCTCTTGAGCTTTAGGGAGAGGGCATACAGGGGACTTAGGGCAAGCCTACCTGACCATGCGGTCCAGGGCTAAGGCAGGCCAGGGTGTCCCTGGCTCTGGGCCCAGGCTCCATCTCTGGCCCAGCTTATACTCATATATTCCTTCAGAGCCTCCCTGTTTCCTCTGATCCCACCTGGAACTGCATGGGCTGGGGAGGGCAGGCTTTCTGAGGCCCAGAGCTGGGACGCCCCTGGAGCTCTTCCAGCCAGCTTCCTTAGTGTTAAGAAAGCAGATTAAATCTCAGAGCAGCACAGGGACTCCTTTGGAGTCACCCAGAAAATCAGTGATAGAGTTGGGTTGGGAGCTCAGGACTCTTGCCTGTTAATCCATGACTCTTTTTGGAAGGAGAGGGGCCAGTGGGACCAAGCAATCTGACAGAACTTGATGCCTGAATCAGTGTGGAACAGGAGTAGGGCAAAGGTGGGAGGATAGCCTTCCCCCCCCGCCCCCCTCCCCCGAGCTCAGCATGTGTCAGGCCACAAGCAGTGGGGGGAGGGGATGTTCTGAGGTCCTTGCTTGGGGGGCGGGGTGGAGGGGTAGCAGTAAGTACCCCTGGGCCTGGACCTCAGCCAGGCCCTGCATAGGTGAGCTGGGCTATGCCGTCCTTGATGGCAGGGAAGTCTGGGAGGCCAGTGTGGTGGAGGCGGCAGCGGTAGCGGCCACAGTTCTTGGCATACTGCAGGAAGCGAGGTGCACCAGGGAAGAGCACGTGGTCAGCCAACACAGTGGCACCAGCTGGCAGCAGGGCATGGGCCTCCAGCAGCTGCAGGTCTCGCAGGTAACATCGGGGCCGGTGTGCCAGGAGCACCATGTCTGCCCAACTCAGCTGGTACTGGGTTTGTAGGCGTGGGATCACCTCCTCTGAGCTACTCACGATGAGCTCCACCTGTGGGAGTGGGAGGAGCTGGAGGTGAGGGTGGGAGGGACTGTTCTCCCACACTAAACTCCCGTAGGATCTGGCTTACTTTATGCCAAGTCCTGGCCTAGGTCCCCATGAGTATTCTCACATTTCCTCTGTCCTCAGAAAAACCCAAGAGGTCAGCATCAGTATTGTGATTTCCATTCTGCCAGTGATGAAGCTGAGATTCGGAGAATAAGTGCTTTGCCCAAGGTCATAAAGCTCACAAGATGTAGACAAGGTTTGGACCCAGATTTGCTGGACTCCAGAGACCTTCCTCTTAACTGCTCCTTTGTCATCCAGCAGCAAATACGAGCAAATGACTTGGAACAGAAGGGCAGGAGTTCATACATCACCAAGGGTCACAGTCCCCTATGTGGAGCTGCTGCCTTCTCCTAGGTGGGATTCCCTCACTGGGGGGCCTGGCTAGGGCAAGGCTGGGGGTGGAAGGGAAGAGACAAGGGTTGGGGAGGTGGGGGCTGACCGTGCGCTCGTCGAAGCCAGCCAGGCGGATGAGTTTTTCAGCTACTGCTGCCATGCGTGGGTCCCACTCCACGGTGAGAAGGCGGCCCCCGGGGGGCAGGGCACGGGCAATAAGCAATGTGGAGTACCCGCAGTGGGTGCCCAGCTCTAGCACGCAAGCAGGGGCCTTCTCCTCCACCAGCCGCATCAGGATCTGACCTGGGGGGAAGATGGCTGTTGCAGCAGACATGGGAGACAGATGCAGGGCCCCTGATAGAAAGGGATCTCAAATGCCCACCTGCCTCACTGCAACCCCCAACCAGCTGGGGTCTTCTCAGACTACAGTTCCAGCTGCCCCCACTGGTCCCCTTGCCCCTCCAGGCTTGCCTCCTTCATGCTCCTTTTCATACCAGCCAGTAGGCATCTTTCCAACAAACAAATCTGACCCTGTTGTTCCTTGGTTCCTATGATCCTCAAGGCCTTTGAGATTGAACTTGAGATCCTCAGCCTGACATTCGGGACCTTCTTGGACCCGATCCTATCCAAACTTTCCAGTTCTTCCCATCTGTAGCCTGTATCACAGCCCTCCCAAGCACTGTACCCAGAGTCAACCAAGTCAATGCTGGCTTATTCCATCATGCTGCATTAGCATATGTGACTGGCTTTGCCCCTCCCCACCCCTGTCTTTATCTGCTTGGCCAAGCTGGAAGCAGTTCTTCTAGGCTCTGTGTAAGTGTTGCTTTCTCCAGGAGGGCTCAAGCAGAAACAACCACCAGGCTTCTGAGAGACCTTCGCTAGAACTTCCAGTTTCATTCCCCCTTGTTTTATTCATTGAATATCTTTCTAACCTTGGAATTTAAAAAATTTCTTCAGACTCTAAAAGCACTTGTGCCAGGAGCCGGGACTCAGACAAAGCCAGGCAGCTGAATGGGATGTGGGAGCCTCCACGGTGTGGGGGAGAAATGCTTAGCACAGGTAATTAGAAAGTTACGGGTTATGTGCTGAGATGGTTGTCCCCTTTATATTATGTCCCCTTTGAGGCCAGCATTTGTGGCTGATTCATCTCTGTGGCCTCTGCCTCCTTTTCCCACCCAGCACCTAGTATAGGCCTAGCACAGAAGGGTGGCAATAAGTGTTTGCTAGATGAATGAGTAACTTTGCCTAGCCCCCTCATTTGCAGAGGAGAGAAAGACCCAGATAGGATCAGGAACCTGCCCAATGCACCCAGTAGGCAGCGGCAGATCCCAGACCTTCCTTACCATCTTGGGGGTGCTTCCTGGAGCAGAAGGCTAAGGAACACTGACCTTTGACAGGCCCCATGTGGCCCAGGTACTCGCAGTGGCTGCTCCAGTGGTCCAGGGTGGTGAGGATGTGACTGGGGTCCCCAGGCAGGGCATGGGTGAGCACATAGCTGAAGGCCCGCTCCTCAGTCCGCAGCCCGGAAAGGCAGTCTCGGAGGCTCCGCAGCAAGACCATACGCACCAGCAGTCGGAAGTAGTGCCGGTATCGCACCAGCAGTGTCACCACCAGGGGCAGGAAGGCCAGTGCGATGGCGGGGGACATGGTCCCTACCAGGGCTCTGGGGTGAAGGGAGGCAGGGAGGGAAACCCACACCCACCATTGCTTGTCATTTGTATTCCTATATTTTACAAACCATAGCTCAGGAAGGCTGTCTTTTGTCCAGAGTCACACAGCAGAACTGGGATTTGAATCTGAATTGGTCCAATTTCAAGCCCATGTACTTTCAAGTACTTCATGCTAGTGTGTGTTGTGCACCCACCCCCAAACCAACTCTTCCCACTTCTACCCCTTGGTCCTATCTTCACCTGGCTTCTTCCACCTGTTTCTCCTCATCTCTGTAGTCACCCCCTCTGGACTGCTTTCTGCAGACCTCCTCTGAGATATCCTCCACCCTCCCTACCCTCTGCCTTCTCTTCCCAGACCCGTTAGTGTGGAGCAAAAGAGCACAGCTTTGTAGTCAGAAACCCCTTCAGACCCTGTGTGCTGTCTCAGTAAAAGGCAATCAAAACACTCCAGGGGGTGTTAGGATGAGATTTCTTCCCATCCCTCCATCTGGTCTTCCCTGAGTGTGGGAGGAATCCTTGATTCTCTGTCTCCTCTCCAGACCTGTCTCCCCTCCCCTGCATTCGCCTTTACTGTTCTCAGAATTCCTTTTACAAGCATGTACAGACACAGCACACAGTCCCCCCATTCGAGCCTCTTCTTCCAGGCCCCCTCTGGGGGATAAGTGCCTTCTCCTCTCGAGTGCCCTGGACCATCCTCCCTTTCCTCCAGTTCTGCCCCTTGTGAGGCCGCTGGTGATGGGGACTAAAATTGAAAGTAAGAGTATATAAATGGATGTGAGTAGGTGAGTGATAGTGAGTTTGAACTGGTGTGCTTGGGAACCCACACTCAAGAGCCCTGCTTACCTGGGCTGGAGGCTCCTGCTTGGGGAAGATCAGAGCATAGGACAGGAGGGGGAGTCCTTGGGACCAGAGAACCCTGAGGCAGGCTGGACCTGCTCTCAATTATTGATGCAGAAGCTGCTGCTGTCACCTGAGACCTGCAGTTCAAGTTACTAGCTGCAGCAACAAGATGGGGCTAACTCTTACCCTTCTCGAGTGCTGAAAAAATGTACAGAACTCCAGGGTCTTGATCTGAGGGGTAATAAGAGCTACTGGGTTTGCTGACCTCTCCTCTAACTCCTTGTAGCAGAACATGGGACATGGTGTGAGCCAAGGTGATGGGAGGCTGTAATTTACTCAGTTCAGACAACTGACATTTTGTCTAAGTAAATGCCAGGGTGTGGGTCGCAGAGGGGAGTCAGATCTTGTCCCCTTCCTCCAGGAACTCCAAGTTTGGAGGAAGAGACTGATCCAAAAATGGAGAATAAAACATAATGCAGTGCTCCATGGATACAGGGACTTTGGGCTGTTTTGTGAACTGCTATGTATCTAGACAGAACAGTATATGGCACATCAGACACTCAGTAATTTTTGATTCGATAAATGAAGGAATCAACACGGGATAGGGATTAAGCACAGGGAACTGGACATGCCCAAACAATGGGATTGAAGATGGCAATCAGGAGAATACTGTTTGTAGTGAGGCTTGAAGGCAGAAGACAGACCTGGTGGGGAGACAGTGTGCCAGGCCACATGAGGAAAGTCCAGGAGGTCAGTCGGGAAACTGCAAATATTTTCTTACGGTTGGTGAGGCATCACTACAATCCCTGCACCGCCACCACCATCACTACCAGCCCCCACGACCCAAATGCTGGAATGGGAGGCAGGTGAGAGGCTCTGCAAGATCTTGAATGACACACCTGGACCTGTGTTCAGCATCCAAGGGAAGATATGGGGTGGTTCTAAGAAAAGAGCATTGTGTGTTAGATTACTATGGTTGCTGTAAAAAGGCCAGCAAGATCGAAGAGAAATGCCTGAAGGCAAAGCCTGTGAGGTAGCCTGTATCTCTTAACAGTTTTGAGCTCTGCTCCGCTTTGGTTTGTGTATGAATAAGGGCTTTTCTTCCAGTAAGTCTCCGATC